AAAGAAATTATTTTATACGTATTCACTTAAAATATAATTAGAAGAGTAAATTGATGAATATCATGTTCTATAGAGTATATGAAATACTATCTAATAGAATAGTCAATCAATCAAACAAAGTATATTCGAGTTCTCATAAAATCTACTTCCAACAAAACTTGATTGAAATTATCTTACCTTTCAACTGATGTAAACCCAATACCATTACAAAGTGATTATTTTCTAAACTTTTCGGTTATAACATCTTTTTTTTTTATAAAAGTAATATATTTAATAATTATATCATATTCAATTATAATATTATCATCCAAAAAAAAAAAATGACCCATCTAAAAATTTTGCCAAAATTATTTTATCTGATACAAATACTCTAGTGGATAAATGTAATGAAAGTGAAAAGTTTAAATTTTTAATCACATTTATAATCATTCAGACTTGTATAAACAGAAAAATTGTTGAAATAATTAATTATAGAAGCATAGGGAAGATTAACCTTTTTGGCTCTAAGTCATTAATTATATTAAAAAATTAATTCTTGAGTCGGGGATTCAAAGTGTCTCTGAAAATGTTTGGCATAAGATTGGTTGTTCATTTATTTTATATTACCTCAATTATAAGATTTAAATTAAATATCAAATAATCAAGCCTTCAAGAATTATTGTATTATATTATATTATTTCAAATAAATGGCTTTTCTAATGTTATAAAGAGTGATATATTGATTTTTTATATCCAAAAATTAAAACTTAAATAGATAGTGATTTTTCTTAATTTAATTATTTTTATAAACAAAATTTGGATACATCTCAAAAAATGAGCAACAAGATTTAAAATTAGTACGATAATTTTGAAGCTTTTGAGCATTACTCAAAAAGCTAGGTACAATTATTTGATTAGAGTCTTTTTAGTAATTTTTAATTGCTTTTAGAATGGAAGAAGCATTATTTGAAATTGATAATGCTTTGAATCTTGATCCTAAATTTGCAGAAGCCTACACTTTAAGAAGTTAAATCTTTTAAATATAAATTTAGGTGAAATATATGAAAAAATGAATGTATATGATAAAGCATTGGAAGATGTGAATTTTAGCATATCTTTAAAAAATAATGAAGCCGAAAGTTATTATTAAAGAGGTAAAAATTCAATCTTATAATTGCAACAATTTATTGGAGAAAATAATTATTTGACCAAGCATTGTAAGATTGTATGAAATGCATTGAGATTAATAAAGACTTTTCGATGGGCTACTGCAGAATGGGTAGTAAAACTATAATAAGTTTTTAGGCACTATTATGAAAGATATGAAATAAAAGAATAATGAACTTAAATATTACAATTAAGCTATAGAAAAGGATGGAAATTGTTTTTAAGCATTTGTTTGTAGAGGTAACATAAAATTTATATTATTAGGGCTTTATTATATGGATGAACAAAAGATTGATTATGCGCTAAGTGATTTCAATTCAGCTATTGAAATCAATCCTAAATATTGTTTGGCTTTTTATAACAGAGGTTAATTCTAATATACAAATATACAAGGAAATTTATATACTGTTTGTGATGAGATAGAAAATGCATTAAATGACTATAATCAAGCAATCCAACTTGATCCAAAATTTGCAATTGGCTATTTTAGTAGAGGTGAATACAATATCACTTAATATTAGGAATTTTATATGATGATATTGGTGAAATAGAAAAAGCATTAAATGACTATAATCAAGCAATCCTACTTGATGTTAATAATGCAAAGGCCTATCTCAATAGAGGTAAGTATTATCATACTTAATATATTAGGAATATTGTATGATAATATTGGTGAAAAGGAAAAAGCTTTAAATGATTTTAATCAAGCAATCCAACTTGATCCAAATGATGGAACGATCTATTACAATAGAGGTGAAATCTTTAACACTAATAATATATTAGGGATTTTATATGCTGATATTGGTGAAAAAGAAAAAGCATTAAATGACTATAATTAAGCAATTCAACTTGATCCAAATGATGCCTTGGCCTATACTAATAGAGGTGAATATAATGTCACTTAATAATTTAGGAATTTTATATGCTCTAATTGGTGAGAAAGACAAAGCATTAAATGACTATAATCAAGCAATCCAATATGATCCAAATAATTCAATTGCCTATTATAATAGAGGTAAATAATATTACACTAAATATATTAGCCATATAATATTATAATATTGGTTAGAAAGACAAAGCTTTAACTGACTATAATCAAGCAATCCAATTAGATCCATTTTTTTATAATGCCTATAATGGAAAAGGTGTTATCTCCATATTAAAATTTTAGGTGTTGCTTTATAGAATTTAAATTAATATCAACAAGCAATAATCTGCTTTGATCAAGCGATTTCACTTGCTCCAAATTATGTTAATGCTTATTTTAACAAAGGTTTTATGTTAACTATATTTTAGCAAATTCTTTAGAAAAATTGACCCAATACTCTTAAGCCATTAAAACTTATTAAATAGCTTTGATATTTAACCATCCTTCTTAAAATTATATTATTTAAACAATCCAATAGCTTAGAGCATTATTATGAAAATTAACTTAAAAGCTATTTTTATATTCTTTTATTATTGTTATTTATGTAAATTGTTTACTTTAGTCTCATCAAATCCTATATTAAAAGATAGTTTACCTATATTTTTTTACATCTAATCTATAATGATTTATTTGATTCAAAAAAGATATTGAGGAAATTGAGCTTAATTTCTATTTCAATGATCAATTAATTAAAAGATGGTGATCTTTGAATTAAATTTAGGATATAGAATACTAAAATAGTATTAAATTTAGAATATATTCAGACAAAAATAAATATACTTTCATCAATCATAATTATATTAGATATTGAATTAATAATATTTTTATATCAGGAACTAAAGTAGATATGCTTAATCTATCTCGATTCATTTTTTTAGAATTTGTTTCAATTAGAACTTAATATTATCAATAAGGTAGAAATTATATAAAAATGATTACAAACTAAAACTTCATTTTTATTTAACTAAATTCTGTTAAAATAATGGTTTCATCTTAGTGGTCTATTAAATATCTTTTTCGTTATAATTTATTAGATATTTTCCATATCCATAACAATGGATTTAGTTTTTTATAAAATTAAAAATATTTAAGTTATTAATATAATAGTAAGCATATGTTAATAATTATTTAAATAAAACAAGGAAAATTATCATGTTTCAAGTCTATTTATTAATAAAGACTAACCTTTTATGCTTTTTGTATATATTTAGTTTTAGTATATAAAAATGATAATTTTGATTGTAATAACACTTACTACTTTCAATTTTATAAAAACTAATCAAACTTTTAGAAATGCAACTTTTAAATGATTCCTCTTGATATTATGAACCAAGTGAAGTTTAATATTAATGTCATCTTTTACTGTATTTTAGAAATATTAAGAAATTTTTGGAACTCATCCAATTATTGAATTTAAATTGAAAGAATAAAACATATGATTTGAATAAAAAGATAAATTTTTAGTTTTAGTTGAGAATATTATACTTATGAGAATAAAATGATTGATTTTAAATTTTCTGTGATGAATACAAGTATATTTTTCTTAATAGATTTCGTTATTCCCTTTCATATTTTATGTTTCAATCATCTATAAATACAATCTAAGTACCAGATTAACGAGGATCAATTAAAAAACATGAAATATATATATAGATTATACGTTTTGATAAATAGAAATTTTCCATTATTATTTACAATAAATTTTAAGAATTTCAGCACCTAAAATAAAGCTCAAATATAAATTATTTGGTTTTGATAATTAAATTCTACCAAGGTTAATTGATATATATTCAACTCATATACTCATTTTTCAGAGCTAATAAAAGGCCTAAACTTTTACGATTGACATATGACCATTAATTGAATTACCCAAAGATTTAATTCTAACTTTTTATACTATTCGATCGGAAAATTTTATTATGAGCACTCCTTAAGCAAAACCTTCATATATTTTTACCTCATCGCAGTAAACTTAAAAATTATGAATTCTAGTGTCATAATCCCAAAACCGAATACGTATAGTGTTAATCTAATAGGCCTATGTTGATGGAAAAATCATAAATTCATTGCGATCACACCTAGCATGACCAAAATATAATAAATTATCTTATGAAAAGTAAAGATTGTTTTTTAAAGGACTTTTTAAATCTCCATTACCATAAAAATAAATTTAGCGAGCATTCTCTAACAAACCACCATTTTATTCTGATAGTACATCCCTGTAATGACCTCTTATAAATGATTTGGAAGTATATCCTTAACAATTATATGTTAAAGAAAAATTGAATACATTTAAGAAAATAAAGAGGATTATAGTAGTCATTAAATAAAATATATAAAAATTTGACTTTAGGTTAGGATAACATTTATAAAAAAAATATGGAAGTATTGTTTCAATTAACAAATTCATATATCCCAACTTAGCATTTTTTCATTATTTCTGATAACTTTTAATATTTTTTCATTAAATTAAATCAACTAATAGGCTAATATATTGCTATACAACAATATTTTGATTTTTAAACTTAGCCTAAATTCAATTTTATAAAAGAAAACTAGGAAATTATACAATATGTAATACTATGTACTAATAACTTATATAATTATAACAATTATATTAGTTATATATTTAAAATAAGATTAAAAAATTATACACATTTCAGAATTCTTAAAAGAATTTATCTTTAAATCAATGAAATCAAAAGAAATCNGTTTTGGAGCACGATTTGCCCCGGCCCCAACCACACTATACTACTATAGTATCTTGTATTTAGGCCTACTATAGTATCTTGTATTTAGGCCAACCCCAAACCCAGTAATAACACTTACTACTTTCAATTTTATAAAAACTAATCAAACTTTTAGAGATGCAACTTTTAAATGATTCCTCTAGATATTATGAACCAAGTGAAGTTTAATATTAATGTCATCTTTTACTGTATTTTAGAAATTTTAAGAAGTTTTTGGAATTCATTCAATTATTGAATTTAAATTGAAAGAAAAAAACATATGATTTGAATAAAAAGATAAATTTTTAGTTTTAGTTGAGAATATCATAATTATGAGAATAAAATGATTGATTTTAAATTTTCTGTGATGAATACAAGAATATTATTCTTAATAGATTTCGTTATTCCCTTTCATATTTTATGTTTCAATCATCTATAAATACAATCTAAGTACCAGATTAACGAGGATCAATTAAAAAACATGAAATATATATAGATTATACGTTTTGATAAATAGAAATTTTCCATTATTATTCACAATAAATTTTTAGAATTTCCGCACCTAAAATAAAGCTCAAATATAAATTTTTTGGTTTTGACAATTAAATTCTACCAAGGTTAAATGATATATATTCAACTCATATACTCATTTCCCAGAGCTAATAAAAAGCCTAAACTTTTAGGATTGACATATAACCATCAATTGAATTACCCAAAGATTTAATTCTAACTTTTTATACTATTCGATCGGAAAATTTTATTATGACCACTCCTTAAGCAAAACCTTCATATATTTTTACCTCATCGCAGTAAACTTCAAAATTATGAATTCTAGTATCATAATTCCAAAACCGAATACGTATAGTGTTAATCTAATAGGCCTATGTTGATGGAAAAATCATAAATTCATTGCGATCACACCGAGCATGACCAAAATATACTTATGAAAAGTAAAGATTGTTTCTTAAAGGACTTTTTTAATCTCCATTACCAAACAAATAAATTTAGCGAGCATTCTCTAACAAACCACCATTTTATTCTGATAGTACATCCCTGTAATGACCTCTTATAAATGATGTGGAAGTATCTCCTTAACAATTATATGTTAAAGAAAAATTGAATACATTTAAGAAAATAAAGAGGATTATAGTATTCATTAAATAAAATATATAAAAATTTGACTTTAGGTTAGGATAACATTTATAAAAAAAATATGGAAGTATTGTTTCAATTAACAAATTCATATATCCCAACTTAGCATTTTTTCATTACTTCTGATAACTTTTAATATTTTTTCATTAAATTAAATCAACTAATAGGCTAATATATTGCTATACAACAATATTTTGATTTTTAAACTTAGCCTAAATTCAATTTTATAAAAGAAAACTAGGAAATTATACAATATGTAATACTATGTACTAATAACTTATATAATTATAACAATTATATTAGTTATATATTTAAAATAAGATTAAAAAATTATACACATTTCAGAATTCTTAAAAGAATTTATCTTTAAATCAATGAAATCAAAAGAAATCTTATTAGTAATTATCAATAGGAATTCAATGTTATAAACTAAAGTTTATTATTGGGCTTAAAAATTTATAATCCACTTAATAGAATTGAGTATCTGAATATATTTAATAATAAAGTATTATTTGATTATGTAATTCTATTTATAACTAATTGTGTTGTTGATTATATCAAACTCTATATTCTTATATTCATTAATGAATTAATTTGAATTATGATAAAGAAATAACATAATTTTATAAGGTATATTAATTAAATATATCTTCGGTTCTTTAGAACAATACTTTCTAATTTTGAACAATATATTTAAAATCCTCATATATTTAAACATAGGTAACATAGGATTCATTTTATCTTTTCAATTTATTTTTCTTACATGCTAATCTTTATTTGTATCGCTTTTTCTTCAGGAATATAAATTAAATTAGTAAGATCTTTTTTGAATTTCCTAAGGATAGTCATATTTAGAATGATCTAAGTACATGAATCTGAGAGAATTTAGGGTAATCTTTATCAAGTTTATTATTGACTTGAAACATAATTTTGTCATTTCAAAATCTTAGCTTCATAATAAATTAAAAAATACTAAAGTACTTATCATATTTCATTTTTATTTGAATTCCTAGCATTTTATATTAAAAATTATTCATTTATAATTTAATCATTTGATAATTTTGGTAAGTTTTTCTTCATTANTAAGTACCAGATTAACGAGGATCAATTAAAAAACATGAAATATATATAGATTATACGTTTTGATAAATAGAAATTTTCCATTATTATTCACAATAAATTTTTAGAATTTCCGCACCTAAAATAAAGCTCAAATATAAATTTTTTGGTTTTGACAATTAAATTCTACCAAGGTTAAATGATATATATTCAACTCATATACTCATTTCCCAGAGCTAATAAAAAGCCTAAACTTTTAGGATTGACATATAACCATCAATTGAATTACCCAAAGATTTAATTCTAACTTTTTATACTATTCGATCGGAAAATTTTATTATGACCACTCCTTAAGCAAAACCTTCATATATTTTTACCTCATCGCAGTAAACTTCAAAATTATGAATTCTAGTATCATAATTCCAAAACCGAATACGTATAGTGTTAATCTAATAGGCCTATGTTGATGGAAAAATCATAAATTCATTGCGATCACACCGAGCATGACCAAAATATACTTATGAAAAGTAAAGATTGTTTCTTAAAGGACTTTTTTAATCTCCATTACCAAACAAATAAATTTAGCGAGCATTCTCTAACAAACCACCATTTTATTCTGATAGTACATCCCTGTAATGACCTCTTATAAATGATGTGGAAGTATCTCCTTAACAATTATATGTTAAAGAAAAATTGAATACATTTAAGAAAATAAAGAGGATTATAGTATTCATTAAATAAAATATATAAAAATTTGACTTTAGGTTAGGATAACATTTATAAAAAAAATATGGAAGTATTGTTTCAATTAACAAATTCATATATCCCAACTTAGCATTTTTTCATTACTTCTGATAACTTTTAATATTTTTTCATTAAATTAAATCAACTAATAGGCTAATATATTGCTATACAACAATATTTTGATTTTTAAACTTAGCCTAAATTCAATTTTATAAAAGAAAACTAGGAAATTATACAATATGTAATACTATGTACTAATAACTTATATAATTATAACAATTATATTAGTTATATATTTAAAATAAGATTAAAAAATTATACACATTTCAGAATTCTTAAAAGAATTTATCTTTAAATCAATGAAATCAAAAGAAATCTTATTAGTAATTATCAATAGGAATTCAATGTTATAAACTAAAGTTTATTATTGGGCTTAAAAATTTATAATCCACTTAATAGAATTGAGTATCTGAATATATTTAATAATAAAGTATTATTTGATTATGTAATTCTATTTATAACTAATTGTGTTGTTGATTATATCAAACTCTATATTCTTATATTCATTAATGAATTAATTTGAATTATGATAAAGAAATAACATAATTTTATAAGGTATATTAATTAAATATATCTTCGGTTCTTTAGAACAATACTTTCTAATTTTGAACAATATATTTAAAATCCTCATATATTTAAACATAGGTAACATAGGATTCATTTTATCTTTTCAATTTATTTTTCTTACATGCTAATCTTTATTTGTATCGCTTTTTCTTCAGGAATATAAATTAAATTAGTAAGATCTTTTTTGAATTTCCTAAGGATAGTCATATTTAGAATGATCTAAGTACATGAATCTGAGAGAATTTAGGGTAATCTTTATCAAGTTTATTATTGACTTGAAACATAATTTTGTCATTTCAAAATCTTAGCTTCATAATAAATTAAAAAATACTAAAGTACTTATCATATTTCATTTTTATTTGAATTCCTAGCATTTTATATTAAAAATTATTCATTTATAATTTAATCATTTGATAATTTTGGTAAGTTTTTCTTCATTATTTACTATCTTGTTAAAAATTAGCTTAATTTAAATAACCAAATAATCTGAAAATATATTATAAAATTTAATCCACTGTAAGAGGAAAATTTAAAATGGAATATAGAGTGGATATTTAATTTCATCAAAATATGCATGCTTTTGCTTAAAAAAATGAGGGATTTTTTTTTAGAGATTTAATTTAGAAAATAAATGGATCATATGGTTCTTTAAAGGATAATTCTATATAATTAAGATTGATGAAAAAATCTAAATTAAATAGTTTAAAAATCTGGTGTTGTAATTTAGATTATAAAAGTGTTTATCAAATATGAAAATATTGAAAGAAAAATATCGATAGTAATTTAGGATAAAGCACAGCAAACTATACCAGAAATATAGAATTAGATGTAATCGAATTTGAACTTATTCTAAATTAAATGATTTAAAAAAAACTTTATTTTTATTAAGATGACTTGGAATTTATGTTAATTCCAATTTTATTCTTTATTAAAGTATGAATGCTTGAATCTCAATTCTCATAAAATTCACTTTGAATCCAATCAAAAAAAATTGTAATTAAAGTTAAAAAAATTATTCTTTCTCAATGTATTATTAAGAAAAATCATCAATTATCATTTCAAAATATATTTTCTAGAAAATAAAAATATAAATTATATCCAATAATCTTAATTTCAATTTTTAAATAATTATTTGTTGTTTTACTAGTTTCAGAATCTTAAATACTTTAAATCTTTATTAGGCATTATTGCGATAATGGATTAATTTAATTATATTTTTTAATTTGTTAGAAAATATCGAGATGCAAATTAGTATTTATTGCTGCTTTCTCGATCTATGAAAAAGAACTAAAGATAATGAAGATAATTATTTTATCCAAAAATTTGAAAACTCATTTTAAGATTCACTTAAATGTAATTAAATGTTTTAATAAAAATTTAGAAATAAATATTAGATATTCTCAGAATATTGCTATAAATTTTCTGTTTTCTGCAGTAATATTTTTAATGAAAATATTATTCCTAATTAGAAAATATCTGCTATATTCCTCATGATTTCACTTACCCAAGTATTATAATTAATAAGAAAACAATGGATTTTCCCAGAATATATATTCTTAAAAATCCCCTTTTCTGAAAAATTATCTAATGTATCAAAATTTATTAAATTCATTAATATTTATGTTCATCTTAAAAATATCTCTATCTTTTACTATAACTATTATCTCCACAATTTATAAATCTAATAGTCATCATCAACAATATCAAGGAGCGAACGATTTTGTTTAGACAGATTCCTAGTTCTTAATTTTTATATAAAAAATTATACTTATCTATGTTAAAAAAGGATTCACTAAAAAAATTAAATATCTATAATCTATCTCAAATTCAGTAAAAATTTATAATTTACATTATTAAAGAATAAATCAAGCAATGCCATTTCATGGTAGTTTATTAACGTTTTCAAAATTAGATCTTGTTATTTTTTTGTAAAAAAGCTAAAAAAATTTTTTATTATCCAAGATTATATATAGTAATAGAAATTCATTTTTTTAATTGATAATGTAATATGATAAGGAATTGAAAGAAGACTTGTATGAAATTTTAAATCAAGCGACAGCAGTTGATGAATTAATTTTCATTGAGACGATTGAACTGTTAGAAAAATGTAAAGTTTCAGATTGTTGTTTAACATTTCTTGAATCTTGCTATCCTTAAAAATATGTCTTTGAAAATAAGCATTTAAACACTATAGAAAAGAAATAGAAACTCGATTTATTTAAAAATGACTTTAAGAAAACCATTATATTATTAAAATAAGTATCTGAACATGACTTTAATAATAATGACTATTCAAGTGATAATTACATTGTAATTAGACAAACTCTAATTAAAAAGATATCAAAAAATTAGAAGATTATAAAATTGTTACAATTTTTAGTTCTTCTCACAACTATAGACTAAAAATTCATATAATGTGGTTCAAATTCATTAAGTTTGTTAGTTGAGATGAAAGTTGATATCAGAAAACTATGTCTTGAGAATATAAGAATTAAGAATTCATCTTTAATTGGAGCTAATTTTGCAAAATGCAATTTAAGTGGATCTGAATTTGAAAATGTAGACATAAGTGGAGTAAATTTGAATGGAGCTGAATTATATAATTGTAAATGGAAAAATTTAAGAATACATGAGTTACTAAAATTAGAGGGTCATACTAGTTAAGTTCTTTCAGTATGTTTCTCTCCTGATGGGGCTATATTAGCAACTGGCAGTGCAGATAATTCTATCCGTTTGTGGGATTTTAAGACAGGACAATAAAAGTCTTAGTTCAATTTTAATAGTGGATGGGTATATCAAGTATGTTTTTTTCCTGATGGTGATACTTTAGCATCGGGTAGTGATGATGGCTCTATTTGTTTATGGGATGTTAAAACAGGAAGCTTAAAAACTTAGTTAAATGGCCATACCGATTATGTCCGATCAGTTTGTGTCTCTCCTAATGGTACTACAATAGCATCTGGTAGTAATGATAACTCTATCCGTCTTTGGGATGTCAAAACAGGATAATAAAAAGCCAAATTAGATGGTCATACTAGTTATGTCTACTCAGTCTGTTTCTCTCCTGATGGAAATACATTAGCTTCAGGTAGTGATGATAACTCTATCTGCCTTTGGGATGTCAAAACAAGATAATAAAAAGCTAAATTAGATGGTCATACTAGCACTGTCAATTCAGTATGCTTCTCTCCTGATGGTAATAGTGTAGCATCTGGTAGCTAAGACATGTCTATCCGCATATGGGATGTTTAGACAGGATAATAAAAAGCCAAGCTGAATGGTCATACATATGATGTAAATTCTGTATGTTTTTCTCCTGATGGTATCACATTAGTATCTGGGAGTGCAGATACATCAATCCGCTTATGGGATGTTTAGACAGGATAATAAATATCTCAATTGGATGGTCATGGAAGTTGGGTATTATCAGTATGCTTTTCTCCTAATGGCAAAAATGTAGCATCTAGTAGTCGAGATCATTCAGTCGGTTTGTGGGATGTTAAGATAAAAATTTACAACAATAAATTAGTTGGCCAGAGTGATTTTGTTAATTCTGTATGCTTCTCTCATAATGGTGAATTATTAGCAACTGGTTGTGGTGATAAGACAATTTGTTTATGGGATGTTAAGACAGGAGAATAAATATTAAAATTAGAAAATCATAGTAGTTGGGTTGAGTCAGTTTGCTTCTCTCCAAATGATGATACATTAGCATCTGGTAGTGCAGATAAATCAATTCGTGTATGGAATGTTTAGACAGGATAATAAATATTAAAATTAAATGCTCATACTGATGTTGTCAATTCAGTATGTTTCTCTCCAGATGGTGCTATATTAGCATCTGGTAGTGCAGATAAATCAATTTGTTTATGGAATGTTTAGACAGGATAATAAATATTAAAATTAAATGCTCATACTGATGTTGTCAATTCAGTATGTTTCTCTCCAGATGGTGCTATATTAGCATCTGGTAGTGCAGATAAATCAATTTGTTTATGGAATGTTTAGACAGGATAATAAATATTAAAATTAAATGCTCATACTGATGTTGTCAATTCAGTATGTTTCTCTCCAGATGGTGCTATATTAGCATCTGGTAGTGCAGATAAATCAATTTGTTTATGGAATGTTTAGACAGGATAATAAATATTAAAATTAAATGCTCATACTGATGTTGTCAATTCAGTATGTTTCTCTCCAGATGGTGCTATATTAGCATCTGGTAGTGCAGATAAATCAATTTGTTTATGGAATGTTTAGACAGGATAATAAATATTAAAATTAAATGCTCATACTGATGTTGTCAATTCAGTATGTTTCTCTCCAGATGGTGCTATATTAGCATCTGGTAGTGCAGATAAATCAATTTGTTTATGGAATGTTTAGACAGGATAATAAATATTAAAATTAAATGCTCATACTGATGTTGTCAATTCAGTATGTTTCTCTCCAGATGGTGCTATATTAGCATCTGGTAGTGCAGATAAATCAATTTGTTTATGGAATGTTTAGACAGGATAATAAATATTAAAATTAAATGCTCATACTGATGTTGTCAATTCAGTATGTTTCTCTCCAGATGGTGCTATATTAGCATCTGGTAGTGCAGATAAATCAATTTGTTTATGGAATGTTTAGACAGGATAATAAATATCAAATATAAGTACTCATACTGATGCTGTCAATTCAGTATGTTTCTCTCCAGATGGTGCTATATTAGCATCTGGTAGTGCAGATAAATCAATTCGTTTATGGGATGTTTAGAAAGGATAATAAAAATCAAATATAAATGCTCATACTGATGTTGTCAATTCAGTATGTTTCTCTCCAGATGGTGCTATTTTAGCATCTTGTAGCAGAGATAAGTCAATCTGTTTATGGAATGTTAATTGGAATTATTTTTTTGTAAAATTGGAAGGCCATACTAATAATGTCAGCTCAATATGCTACTCTCCTGATGGCTCCAAATTAGCATCAAGTAGTTCAGACAAATCTATCCGTTTATGGGATGTGAAGACACAATAACATTATTAAGAAGGCAATAGGTAATCTACTTAAATTGCCAATTCAATATGCTTTTCTCCTGATTTTGCGACATTGGCATCTGGAGGCAGCAATAATACTATCAGTTTATGGGATGTTAACTCAGGACAAAAAATTATGAGATTAGATGGTCACAAGGATATCATTACTTCTGTATGCTTTTCTTCGGATGGTACTAAATTAGCATCTAGCAGTACAGATAAGTCTATTCGTTTATGGGATGTGTAAGAGAGATGCCTTATAAAAAAATTTGATTTTCAAACTGCTGATGTCTTTATATTATTCTTCTCATTAGACGATTCTACATTATGGTATTGTAGTAATTAATAGTTTTTCGATTTGGATCTTAAGACCCTATAGAGCTCTCCTAATAAAAGTTTTACTTATGATTTTATAGCTTTTAATACAAGTAAAGAAAAATAATACTGTATCTATAGTTTTATTATTATTTAGTCCACCCTAATGTTGCTATTCACCTTATATCCAAATAGCTGATATTTTAAGCATAAAAGGCTTTGATCTTCAAATCAGAATTTTTTAATTATTAGGGAGTAGATATAAGAGCATTAATAAAATAAAGAGGAGGCTTTGATTTAGAAAACGAAATAAAATAAAAGTAAAATTGATCAAGAAGAACATTTTAATTAATAAATATTATATTTTTTAGTATTTCCTTGATAAATATTTATAAATTGCTTTCTTCGTTTTCTTCTATTTTTAGTTTGTGTATTTATTATTAGTTGTAGGTAATTTTTTCCAAAATCTTAATTAATTTTTATTTGACTAAATCCTGCTCTACTTTGATATTTGATAAGATAATTTTTATCAAAAATCAATAAAAAAAACCAAGAAACTTTTCTGGTTTTCAGATGCAAACTTTTGAATGGTTAATCCTTTTTAAACCATTAAATTTTATTTTTTATTAAATTATTTGAAACGATCATATTTCATTTTTATACATTTTTATTATCTTATCAAAACAACACTGAGACTATTATTAAATTGAAAATCGTTGTTTCTTTTGTAAATTGAAGTTGCATTTCTTATATAAATTTTATTAATAATAGTACTTCTTAAGGTACTATAATGATGAATTCCATTTTTTTATTAATGAATCATTACTAATTTATATTCTCTAATCAAAATGATTTCTCATTTACAAGAAGAGTGAAATTGAATGTAAATATATAATTATTGGATTAAAAATTAAGTATTGTTTTGTAATTAGAATTTAACTCAAAAATTTACAATATTCTTGATTCTAACATTAAATTTTTTGGATTCTATTCAGAAAAAAAGATTTATGCTCCCAAATCTTTAACTATCTGTCTTTCACTTTATCCAAATGTTGAAAATATAAGGGCAACAAAGACAAATATTTATGTTCTTTTTTAAGTTTTGTATTTCCATCCAAAAAAGAGAAATAAACTATTTTAGCAAAAAAAAATGGCCTTAAAGTAAAATTCTTATCGAAAAATACATAAAGTTCCAATAAATTATGTTTCATATTAATAGTAACATTATCAAATAAGTATGATTTGCATAATGCTATCAGCCCTTAATGAGTGAATCTGAAGTATTATGTCTTTTTTGAATAATGTCATTAATCAATAAAAATTGAAACTAATGGGTATTTTAGCAACATCAATAATAAAATATATTAGTTTATCAAAATGAAATTATTTAGACTATTGCTAAGTATTTCTTATCAGAGTAAAAATATAATCTTTAGAAATTTTAGTTCTTAAATTGTGGGATAATCCTTTCATTGTTATAAAATTTTTATTTGGACTTTTCTCCTAAAATTAAAGGTTTTAAAGTTTTGTAATTGTTTTCTAATATTGATTTATACAATTATAATATGGATATGCATTATCAATCTCATACTATCAACGATCCAAAATTCTAATATGATTTATAAATTTTAGATTAACAAAACAAAGATATATTTTATATGATTTATTTTAAATAATGAAAAAATCACATATCCGAAAAAGATAAAAATTTTGGATTATCAGCAATATCAAAATTACAGATATTCTAAATTCATTTTTTTCAGCATCTTCTTTAACAATCTGTCCTAAAAATCTCCAGTTTCTAATTAATGCCAAAAGTCATCAAATGTACTTCCATATGAATTTATAGCTATACCATGAATCAATTAAATATATTAGGTTTCTAATTTTAAAAGGGAAGTGTAAATAAGAAATAATTGGAGTATAACTTTAATTAAATTAATTATTGAGTTTTTATGTTAATTCAAATATTTTGTCTAATAGCTATTTTAATAATATTGTAATAAGTCCCATACAAACACATTACACGCATTTATATATAATAATATATATTAAATTATTGTAATTATTCTACTACTATCGTAATAATTTATATTAAACTCTATATTATGTAAAATTAGACATTTGATTAGAATATTTGTTTAGTGGATGTGAAAATTAGACATATTACTTAAGCAATAGAAAATAAATGTGACTAGATCGGAAATTAATACGATTAACTCAAAGATCTAAAAAAAGCGATTTCACAAAAATTATTAGAATTGCATGAAATAGAAACTAGATTGAGTAAAACAGAGAGGAAATAAAATTTGTAAATTTAAAAACATATGTCTTTTGATAACTTTGAATTTTAGCAATTGTATGAGGAATACATGCTTGCTAAAATTAAAAACACTTAATTTTAGCATCAACTCAAAGAGAGTATGCTCAAGTCAAAAGAATTATAACTTCATAAAAAACATTTATTAAAATAGCTAGAATTGCATCAAATGATTTGTGAAGAATTAACTCATTAGAATAACACCTTATAAAAAGAATTAAAATAAAAAGTTGATTTTCTCAACAAATTTGGATAATTAGCTCATTCAAAGAAAATTAAAAATGTAACATCAACTCAATCCATGAAAAACTACATATTCAATTAGTATGAAGATCAATTCGTTGCCAATCATGTTAAAACTCTAGAATTGCATTATATGGATAATGATATCCCCTTCTTAATTAAAAAGTTTGAACAATTTGATGACACTAGTAAACAAAAAGATACAGATGATGATTTAAGTGTTAATTTACCTAGAATGGAAAATACCAAAGAAGAAATTATTAATCTAGAATACAATTAAGAATAATCAGAGAAATTGATCTAAAGAACATTACAGGAAGAATTTGATGAGTGTATATCAGATGAAGAGCAATCAATATACTTAAATAGTTCACTTTTTATTTGAATTTACATAATTAATAATATTATATTATTAATAATAAATTAATTTATTTATGTTTAAATAACATTAGGAGTTTGCTAAAGTTGTTGTCAATGATTTTTTGGGAGGACCTAAAATAATCAAATAATGCCATATAATCAATGCTTAAAAAGGATTAACAGCTTTTTTTGTAGTTTTCCTCATTTGGTGGTATTAAAACTTTTCTTTAGGTGCTTATCTCTACGTATAACCAAATTTTATTTGATAGTTGGCATTACATGGTAGTTATGGAATTATTTGGGTTGTTAAAGATTTTACATTTCCAGATCGAACTTTTCAGAATAAAATTACAATTGGATCATCAATATTTACATCCATACTATTATTATTATATTGGTTTATTGCTTGGTTATAAATATCAGAGGGAATTCCAAATCCAAGTAACGCACGAGTAGTTACTGCTATTTTTGCTTATGTTTTTGGAGTAGTATTAATGATAGTAAGTGATTGCCAAAAATACTATACATTAAAATATAAATAAGGCTTAATTACAGAAGGAATGTTTAAATACAATAGGAATCCTAATTATACAGGAGAAATGTTATTATATGCTTCATTTGCAATCCTTAGTGGAAATTGGTTGGCTTATTCAATACTATTTACAGTCTGGATAGTTGGATTCTATGGTTTTATGGTAAATAAAGATATTTCTTTTGCCAAAAAGTAAGGATGGAACGAATATAAAAAGTAATCTTATTTATTCTTATGGAAAATTCATTCAAATGATATAATAAATTATGGATTATATGGAGCATTAGTTGCCTATTTGATATGGGATTACTAAGTAAGTGGAGCCATTACATTATTAAGAAAATGAGTATATTATTTAGTATCTTAGAAGAAAATCATATATATAATGATCAAAAATCTTTATTATTAAACAATTTAGAATAAAAATTCAAACTCCGGCTCCAATGTCTAGCATGATGTCAACAAAAGATAAAAAGAAAAGCATAGACATTAACAAAAAGAAATGAATTAATTGTCTTCTTCTTGATAACATTAAATTATTTGGCATAACTTAATTATTGATTTCAAAAAGAATTCTACCTAATATCAATATTTGGATAAGTTACCTGGACCAATTAATTTAACTTTAGTATTATCTTTTAGATTTAATTCATATCGAACAAAATCTTACATTGCCAAAATAGAATGCTTCTATACAGTGATAGATTCTCCATCTCCAAGATCTTTATCAATTACTGTTCCATTAGTTTTCAAAAAGATTAATTGTTATTTCATTAGATCTCTTGAAAAGACAATTTTTTAGTAGTTTTATTAAAATTAAGGAATTGGTCCTACTTCAATAAAATCATTAGCTGCTAATATTGAAGATTCTTTGATTAAATAATTATTAAAAATAGCAGCATCTAACACCATCACTTTCCCTGTTTAAGCACTAATTCCTACATAAGCAACATTCTCTTTGCTATTATTCACAATAGTCACTTGATTTGCAACAATAAAATATGATCTCTTTGTTTTAATCTCAATGTTGTCTGAATAATATTGTATATAATTGTTTTATGTAATTATGTATTCACCAGGAAGTAATACAATTTATGCTACATTATCTCCTATAATTGAGAATTTGATTCCTTATGTTAATAAGTTCTATGGATATTCCATTAATATTAAAATAATTATTGTAAATTCTTTTCATTTTATAATACGATAAATCCAATAATAACAAACATTTGGCTTCACTATATGTAATGTTTGATAAAACATAAATAATTAATGGGAGAATTTGAATTTTATATTGAATATATGAAATTCAAACTATTCTATGATTTCTAAATATAGTATGATTATGATTTTAAATAATATATATTCATTCCTTAAACTACTCAATAGTATTTCTTAGTGAATTTATTGCTTTAGTTAGTATTTCACTTTGAAGTTAGATTTCAAGTAAAATGTCAACTTAAGGTTTGTTTACAGATGATGTTCTTGGACGACTGAGTGGTCTCTTTTTTTCAGATGAACGCAATTTATGTTGTTAAATCTTATTTTATTTAGATTTTTGATAGTACCATCAATTTATATGGTTATGAATCATCTTCCAATATTCGTTACTGTTTATATTTTAACATAATATTATAATTCGTTTTTGGAATACTCAGAATAATTAAATATAAAATAATGAAACACTTTGTCGTGTTAGCCTTGATTGCATGCATTTATGCAACATCTATAACTGAAATGACTGACAAACTTGCCTAATATGGTGATCACCCATTTGGAAAGTCAATGGTCAATTTGGTTTCTGTCAATATGAAGACAGGTGGATCCCTTAATGAATTAAAACAACTCTTGTAATAAATTAAGGATGAACTCATTGCTCTCACTTAATTACAAGATTAAGAAAATGGCACTTTTACTCGTAGAAGTCAAGTTGATTTGGCTAAATTACAAGCTACTTTAGAATAAGCACAAGCTGATTTGGACAATTAAAGATAAGAATAAACAAGTCTTAGTAATGAATTAGCCACTCTTTAAACCAGAGTCAAAGAAGGTAATCTCTATCTTTAATAATTCTTTTGCAGATCAAGCCGCTTTAGATAGAAACAGCAGAGGAAGTGGTGATGCTTAATCTAGATTGGATGCAGAAAATACAGATTTTGCAGCTAAATATCAAGACTACAGTGATGCCATTTTAGCTTGTAAGGAAGCTTAAAGATTGTTGATGAACTTGAGAGGAGAAGGAGCATCCCTCATTTAAATTACGTAAATACTATATAAAATAATAAATTTTAGTTAAGACACAAAGACCAATCTCCTATAAACCAAAGAGAATTTCTAAAAAATCAAGGAAATATTGGAGGCTCACACTAAAAAGAGTTCTTTAACTTTATTCTAGCCTATTATTGAAGGATTGGCTGAAATGACAACTAAAGTTAATCCAGAAACCCTAAATAATGTATTGAGTTTGGTTGCCCGTTTGATTACTGCCTTATAGGAAGGACAAGATTAATTAGAAGCTAATCACAAGACTTAAGTAAAATGCTATTATTATTTTAGGTTGAAAATTTGAGTAGATTAGGTGATGACTTAAGAAACGAAAAACAAACATTATAGGTTTCATTGGCCACTGCCAATAATAGACTTAAAGAAATTTAATCTAGATTGAATGAATTAGATGGATTGATTAATATTTCAAATGCTTTGGTTGAAGTTACCCAATTAAATATTTAAGATGCTACCAGAATTAATGAATTGGAGGATTCAGAATATAGCAATCAAAAAGTTAGTAGGTATTAAAATTTAATAATAATATAGATAAACAGAAATTGATATAGTTGACAGATTAATTGAATACATCAATCAAAAATTATCTGAATGAGTTGACACAATTATATCCAAATAATAATTCTAAAAAAGTTTAATTTTAAATCCTATTGTTTTAATATTTATCTATAATGTATTTATATGTATTGCAAAAAGTTTTCATTTCAATTCATATAATTGATTAATTAAATTAGTAATATGGCTGAAGAAGATAGAGGTTTGACGAAAATGGAATATCATACTTATAAGATTGTTAAAGTAGATAATGACTTAAGAAAAATTCAGATACAAAATAATGAAGCTGAAATTTCCAAAATGAAAAATCAAATAATTGAAATAGAATTGAAAAAATAAGAATTAAGAAAAGAATTAGAATGCTAAGCATAAGTATATAAAATATTTAATATAGCAATTAAATAACTTAGAAGAAGAAATTAGAATTACCAAATCCAAAACTGATTCAGAAATTTATAAATTGTAGAATGAATTAAGTTCATTTCAATAAAGATATATTAAACAAGAAGAGAATAATGAAAATATATTCTCTTAATATGAATAAAGATAACCAAATTTATATTTTTGCGATGTAAAAAAAAAAATATATTGAAATTTAGATAAAAAAAGGTTCAAATGATATTACTTTTGTCAAGATTGTATTTCATTACGACTTCAAAATTGAAAAATTCGATATCTAAATTTAAGATAATTAAGTGGATATTGCTGTTAATTTAGAGAGAAATGAAGTTTCTCATATAATTAAACACCTCGTTTAAATTGACTAATAGAATATATAATGTTTGGCAAAAGTAGTTTAGGCAAATGAAATTACATTCCAATTTGGATAAGCATCTTGAAAAATATTAATTTTTATTAATAAAAAAGTATTTTTAATTATATAATGATAATATGTTAAATTAAACCATGACTTAGAAGCTGAATACAGATTAAATTCCACAGCAGACCAATAAATTAAGAAGTATGAATTCTATCCTTTAATACAATGAATAAAACTAAACACTTTTATTGCTAAATATAGATATAAATTGGTTAAAAATTTAAGCATTTTGTTGTAAAACTAGAGGTCAGTTTCAAGATAAATTATAGGCTGATTTGGCAATGCGAAATCTCTATATTAAACATTCAATCTAATATTGGTGTAAAAAGAAAAATAACTAAGAAGAGTTTAAGACTCCTATTAACAAATTACCATCTTAACATACATAACAATATTAATTGAATTAAAAGTTCTAGGAATAAAAATCAGTTGGATTGCCCTTACTCAAACCTTTATCATTTGCCTTCACTTAAATATAGAAAAAATATAAACAAATTAAGGGTTCTTAACGAAAAAAAACACCTCTGTAATTGTCTGCTGTATAATGTCCAATAAATACTGTAGAATTCAAAAAGCAGGATATCAATAAACCTATAACTTCTAGATTGCATTCTAATAGACTTAAAACAGTAATTGAGATTAAAATTCTACAAGATAATAAATATTTTATGATATCAGAATAAGGAAAGGAAATAAATAACTATTAACCATAATCAAAAGGTAAAGATTAAGTAGAAACTTTATATTCATAGTTTTTTGGAAGTATTAATAGAAAAAGAGCTGCTACTATTTGTAATGGGTCATCAAATGAAATTGAGTTTGATTATAAATCAACAAATCTGGAAGATAAAATAAAAATCCATAAATTTTGATATTTCTTATATCTATGAATAAAATTATACTAATATCAAAATATTATGCAAGCTGCATTATCTTCTTCTATTTATTCAGCTGTTAACCTTCCTTTTGTATTTTAAGGTTAACCTTAAACTGATTAAGGTTTGACATTTTAAGTTCTAATTTACTCACTTAAAATTTCATCTTAATCATTTCCTTCAAAAATCATTTAGCTTTATTTATATTTATAGCTTTTCATTACTTCTGCTTATTTTTATTGAAGTATAGTTTATTAAACTTGAGTTTAATACTCTTTTTTCATCATTTCAGCTTAAGTTAGTCTATTATATTTAGATATATTTTTTATAGGTTCTTTTGAAATTTCTGTTGGTCTATAAACTTTAAAGTCATAAATTTCTTGTTATGGATAAACAGAGAAATCTCTTTCTATTTTTGTTTTTGTCATTTTAAGTGTTTCTGTTGGTTAAACTTATTTTGTCACTGTTTCTTAAAAAGTATTTTAAGCTTAAACGCTTTATTTAGTTTGTATTAAAATCTATTATTATTATTATTAATTCATTGTTTCTAAAAGTTTTAAAGGTTCTGTCAATTATTTTCCTTCTGGTATTGTGTTCAAAGGAGGAAAATATTTTTTTATTTCAATTCTACCTCCATATTTCCTTTCTAATTATGTAGGTTCATAATATTTTTTAAATTAATTAATATCAGATACTATTATTATCTTCTTTTTATTATAAATATGTTCCAAAAATTCAGCCCATCCCAATTATATACTTAAAGAAGGATGTAATATAAATATTTTATCTACTGTGCATGGAAAATTTTAATACATTAATTAAAATAAAGAATAATACTCTTATAATTTAACATTTAGAACACATTTCTCCTTAAGATCGATTATAATATTCCAATTTTCAATTTTACCATCATAAAAACAATAATCTTCCATTATTATACATAAAATGCTAATAGCCCTTTTTAAGAGTTCCATATTAACAGTTGTAATTTATTCACAATTAATTATCAATGTAGGTCTATATTATTTATCTCGTCCAAGAATGTAGACAATACCTTTATTCTTTTATATAAATGAAATTACATAAATATCTAAAACATCTTGATCAAATTCATAATTTTTAGGTTCTCTTAACCAACCTAAATGGCTTCTTAGCATGTCTTTAGTATTTTCAATATTGAAAGTATTTGCATATAGATAACGTAAAAGTACTTCATCTGTTTATGAGCTACTTAATAAAATATTATACTCAGGATTTATTTCAATTTTATAAGCTGCTAAATTATCTTTAAGTTATTGCAATTACTTGCGTTCATCTTAAGATATTGGAACATTTTTAAAAATCCTTCTAACTGGCTCTTTAGGATCATTTTTTCGTACGTATTCCTCTACTATTAATTTTATAATTACCAGGATGTTAAACTTATTTTGCCAATATTGGAGGCAATCTTAGATATTCCATTTCTTCCATCATTTTATTTTATACTTATAATTATTATTATAAATTCAATTATATAATATACTTATTAAAGTTTTGTATAAATTTCAAAATTAACAAATATTTCAGATAATTTCATTAGATAGAAGACTAAAATATATATCTTGAAATTTTCTGTTCCATTTATCTCAATTGTTTATATGATTTTCTAATAAATATATGTTTAAATTTATCTAAAAAAAAAATAAAACTATAATTAAAATTTGTAATCTTTATTTAGTTGTGTTTAATATTTCAAAATCAAAGTCAATAATAGTTTTCATTACAAATTTTGATTTTATTAAAGAATTTAAAGTTATGATAACAAAATTATAAAAAAAAAACAATACTCTAATCTTATGAATCTTTCTGAATCAATAAAATAATTTTAAATAATTATTCATAATAAATGCTATGTAATTCACTTAAAACTAAATGCAATTAATTTAATATAAGTTAAAAAGATGAAGTTTTTGTAATTTAATTATATTTTAATGATAAATACTTTTGTTATCATCCAAGAGAATTGTATATGATTTTTATGAATACCTTTGATACTGAAGATTGATAACATAACCCATTTAATAATAAATTAATCAACTAGAATAATTAATTAAATAAATCATTTTATTAATTATCCAATATAATAACATAAATATTATTGAATTTTAGAATGTTTAATTATTAAATCAATCAGTGATATATATAATATAAATAATGATAGATTATGTAGATTAAGTACACTGCATATGAGTAATTGATTGAAAATAAAATGGAATTTAAAGAATATTTGAAAATTCGAATAATCGAGATTTATATGTTTAAATAAATTTGATGATTTTAATATTTAAAAATACAAAATTTGTGATTAAAAAACAATGAGTTTATAAGAATAGCTTCTTAATGTGATCCATGGTGTGTTCTCACCAGATAATGCCACTAGATAAAAGGCAGAGGAATTGCTTGCCTAATATAGAGATTCTTAACCAAGTGAATTTGTCACATCAATGCTCCATCTATGCAGACATGAAGAATTAAAAATTAGATAGTTTGCTCCCGTGTATTTAAGAAACTCACTAAGTAATTATTCTCCCAAGAGTCATAAAAATGTATGGAGTCTTCTCACTCCAGAAACTTAAGAAATAGTTAAGGTGTCACTCTTCTAATTGTTGGAACTTGAAACAAGTTCTAATGTAAGAAGTTAATTGTGTGATACCATAGGAGAACTTGGAGGATCACTCTTCGAAGATGAAACTAAAAATTCTTGGCCTAATCTCTTATAAACATTATGGTAATTATTCTTGTCACCAAAGAATGATTTAATTGAATGTGGATTTAAGATCTTGGCCAATCTTTTCACATATGCTATAGATTTATTCAATAAACATTAAGCTGATCTTCACACTTTATTCATCTAAGGACTTGCTAGTCCAGATTAAAAGATTAAAACAGCAACAATATAATCAATTGGTAATTATGTAACAACATCTGAACCCAAATAATACAGAGCATTCTAAGATCTTATTCCAAATCTTATGTAATCTGCTTTGACTGTTACAGTCTAAGATTAAACTTTAGGAGAAGAAATTATGGAAACCTTTTCTGATATAATAGATGCTGAACCAAAATTCTTTAGAAAACAAATCAATGTATTTTTCAATGGAATTGCAGCTATTTTCAGAGAATCTTAAATTGAATAAGGATTGAAGAGAATTGGAACAGAAACATTAATAAGTTTAGCTGAAAAATTCCCAAGAGTATTTAAATAAGATAAATAATACTTGAGTTAATTAGTAGAAATGATTTTCTTCCATATGATTTAAATTAGTTAGACAGTAACAGAAGAATGGATGAAACCAGCTGAAGGATTCAACGATGATATTTAATAAG